CAGTGACTAGTCATCGTCCTCGTCCTCTTCCTCATCATCGTCCTCCGTGTTGATCTCGCCCTCCAGCACATCCTCCAGCCAGTCCTCCAGCTCCTCTGCGGAAGGCAGGTCCTCCTCGTCGTCCATCTCCATCCACACGCTGTCCGCCTGGGGTGAAGCACACGCGGGGACCGGAGCTTAGCCCGACTCAGGTCTTCAGACCTGTCCTCCCACTCGCGGGGCTCCCTCTGTCCTTCCCTCTGTCCTCCTTCCCTTCCCTTCACCTGTCATGGGCCAGGGACGCTGTCCAGGGGAGGGTCTAGGTGGGAGCCGTGACGGGGGAACAGGGATGGCTGGGTTGGCCTTTGATGGGAAACCGCCGGTGGCCAGAGAGTCAAGCCAGCCACCCTTCAGCTTCTCATAACCTGCTTTTCCAGCACCGACCGCAGAAGCCTCTAGTCTCGCAAGCATAAAAAACGACTTGCCTTTTCCAGAACCTGATACTCATTTTCCTACTTTTGACCTTCCGCACTAACTTTTCCAGCGGCCTGGAAACGGCTCGTCATCAACTGCGCGCGTCCGGACCGCTCCCGGCCGTGCGGTCCCCACTTTCAGTGCCACTCCTTTGAAACCCTTCTCTCTGATTTTCTTCAGCAGAAGTTGCTTTGATTTCTGTGGCTTCCTAGCATTTTATGGGTCTCTTTATGATCGAGTTTATAAGATCTGGCAGTGTCGTTAACAGAATATCTGCGTCCCCAGCCGCACTGAGAACAGTATGAACGCAAAGACTATGGCTTAATCCCTTCACCGGCACAGACGTGGCCGAAGCACCTGCGTGTGTGAGTGCGATTTCTGCCCTCAAAGAGCTGAGTCTGCCAGAGAGGCAAGCACGACGCAGAGCTAGCCGAGCTAGCCGAGCTGAAGTCCCGTTCGCAACGCCAAACGGGCTCTGGGGGCGCCGAGGAGGGGGCCCGACTCCACATGGGAGATCTGGAGAGGATGCGGACCGGGCCTTGAGGGATGAGGAGCCAGCTGCGGTGTGTGTGCTCTGGGCCGAGCCTCTCCCTCTGCCCAGCCCTGAGACTGGGCGCGTCTGACCCTGGGGTGGGGGGCGGGGGGGCGGGCAGCCGAGCAGGGAGAGCTGGTGGGGCTGGGAAGCAGAGCTGGGGCCAGCGGGGCGTGCGGGAAGGAAACTCACATCGGTAACGTTGACCACTCCTATTTGCGGGGCTCTCAGGTCAATGTCAAACGTCTTCTCCCAGTATGGCACCAGCTGCAGAGAGACCACGCACGGTAACGTAACAGCGTCTCGGAACGCGTGTGTCCAGGAGGGGGAGTGTAGAGGGTCAGCCCAGGGGCAGAGGAAGGTCACTGTGAACCCACGATGGGGGCCCGAAGGGAAGGGGTAGAGGTAAGCAGTTGCAGGTAAAAATCCCAAAATGAAAGTATTGGGATGGTCAGCTGAAGACACTGGCCCTTCTTTCCCCAGGAAAACACGGGTAGGAACCCGTGTTCTGATCCTAGCTCTGCTACTGCGTGACCTGTGACTTTGGGCAGGTCACTTCTCAGTGACCCTCAGCTTCTGCACCTGTAAACTAAGGTCGTCGTCCCTGGTCATTGTCAGTGTTCCTCACGTATCTCCTCATTCTGTTGCTCTTTCAACAACGAGCGTGAGGTGTTGGGGATCCAGCTGGGAACGAAACTGTCCCCTGAGGCATGGCCTCTCCGTGCTCTCAGTCTATGATTGCGTAGACCCACCTGCCCTCCCCCCCACTCTGTTTTTTTGTAGACGGAGTCAGCCCTGGGAACATGAACTCCCTGCCGCGTCTCTGCTCTGGGCATTGTGTGTGTTGTGTTCCATGCGATTTACTTCCCATTCTGTGCCCCCTTCTCAGGGTGCCCTCTGTGCCCACGGGGCCCTTGAACACCAGACGTAACCTCCCAAGGTCCTCGGGCCGGGAGTTGGGGCAGGAACTCTGAAAGAAGCTCCTCTCAGAAAGGGCCACCGCGTCAGGCCCTGCCTTTGGAGAGCCCTGCCTCTCACCAGGGGGAAGTCGTCAGGGTCGATCCAGATGATGCTGAGATCAGGGTTTTCTGTGTTGTCTTGGGCCACGGCCTTGAGTGTCTCCAAGAACTCATAGCCATCTTGGAGGGAACACGAGTAAGAAGTGTTAGGTGGGACAGGGAAGAAAGGGACGCAGCCACAGCAGGAGTCCTGGGCGCTCCCCACCTCCCACCGTCGCTGGTGTCTCACCCCTGGGTCACTGCACTCCCAGGAACGCCTCCCACTGAAGCCTGCACAAGCACCCCTGGCTCCCCGTCACCGGCACCCCCCCCCAAACCTGCATCCCTCCCTCACCAGGATCAGCTTCCTCCGCGAAGGCCACGATGTGAATTCCATCCATGTCGTCCTCCTGTTGGGGGCAGCGGGGCTTAGCTATGCTTCCTGAAGTTAGGGAGCCACACACACCCTACATCTTCCCGGAATTTCGTGGAACTCCAGCTTCCGGATCAGGTACGTTCTTGTGGCGGCAGCCCTTTCCCAGGTGACACGGATGGCTCGGTTTCCCCTCCAGGGACCCCGCACCTCCTCTAGCAAACTCTTTAGCCCCAGATCTCCCTCCCTGTCATCTTTGTCAGTGTCTGTGTGTCTCCTAATTCCTGTAGTTCTTCAGAGCTACAGCCTCCAAACTTTGCTGGTGCATGGTCTTTCCTACGGGCCAGGCACGGAGCGCAGCAGGGCGGGAAGTTTCCAGGACTTGCGTCTTTAGCCACCCACGCCCCGCCCCGGGGACCCGGCCCTGTCCGGGGGTGGGGGGACACTCACCCACGTCTCATACATACTCTCAGGCTTCAGCTTCCTCAGGGTGGACCTAGAAGAGACAGTCAGGACTCAGCGGGCGAGAAGGATGCACCTCCAGAGAGCTCTGGGTCAAGCCTGGGGCACAGACAGCTTGTAGGCCAGAGAAAAGCCATCTGGCAAAGTCTAAGCTCTGGGCTCCAGGCCCAGGTCACCGCCTGGTTAAAGCAGGTGGGAGGGCAGCGGGTGGGCCCGTGGCCTGGAAGAGAGTCTTTGGGAGAAAGGTAAGAACGCGGTATCTGGGCATCCCCTCATTCATTCAGTACAGCTGAGTCTGAGAAGTTCTAGGCACTGGGCGAGGCGCCGTGTGGGGGCATTGTTGAGCGAAGCTGACTGGCCCTCCCCGGCAAAGGGGGCCATGATCTAGCGGGAGAGGGCGAGGTTGGTGGCGTCTCCACGGACACCAGGGGACGCTCCCAGCTGTGGAGTGCCACGGAGGAGGAGAATCGTGTGTGAGTGCAGGCAGGGTCTCTCCACCTCTGGCTGGAGAATTCTCGGTTGTGGGGGGCCATCCTGTGTGCCCTGTAGGAGGTTAGCAGCATCCCTGCTTCTCCGCCCACCGCCCCTCCCGCCAAACACTGGTAGCTCTCTCCTCAACCAAAAATGCCGGTCAGGATCCCGTTCTGACACTTCCTACTGGTGGGACCTCAGTACTTGAGCTTGTTGAAAGGATTAAAAACAGTAATAGAGATGGAAGCACCTGGCAGAACCTGGTCTGTGTGCGAGTGAGCAGTCATACCCAGAAGGGCCTTCACCTGCCAGCCAGACCAGCTTCCTGGCGGGCTGGGATCCCCCGGCCCCTCTTGAGCATGGGGCGCATGGGCGTTCTGGCCCGAGGAGGCACCCCCCGGCTCAGGCTGGCCCCCGCTGCCCACCTCCTGTGCTCCTCCACGAAGCTGACAATCTCCTCTTCACTGTTGGGCTTGTCTGGGATGGTCACAGGCTCTTCCGTGAAGGCCTCATAGAAATCGATCTCATTCAGCTTCAGGGTCAGCTTCTTTGCCACCTTTGGGGGAGGGGGCAGGGGGAGGGGAGCGGGGGATGCGGGTCATGGGGAGAGGCCGTATCACCACGAGCAGGTCTTAGGAAGGAAGCCAGACAGCCTGGGCCCTTGTCACTGCCCCTGTGACAGTGGACAAGTGCCTTGACGTCTCTGGGCTTTGGTTGAACCTGAGAGGGGTGGGTTAAAGGATCTAAAATCTTTGGGGCAAGAGAGAGAGGCCTGAGGTGGGGTGGGGGGTGTCGTGTGAGGCAAGGGACCAGGTCCCCCATCAATTCTGGGAGAGAGGTCTGGAGGGCAGCTGCAGGGAGCTAGGGGGACCCCATATGGCCACAGGGAGGAGAACCTTGCTGTCGAAGGTGGCGAAGAAGGGGATGTAGGGGTGAAACTCCTCTGCCGCATCCTCGAAGGCCTTGTAATCTGAGGGAGTAATGTGGAGTCAGTCTCTGGGAGAGCCAGGGTCTGCCGGGGAGCCATGGCCTCTCTGTCTCTCCCCGAGTCTCCTTTGGCCAGAGGGGTTCCTTCTGAGACCCACCCCCTAGTCCTCTGAGAGCAGCAAAACTTTAGTGGAGGAAGTTAGGGTGCTGGGGGTCCCTGTCTGGGAGCCCCAAGTGCAGGGAGGTCAGAGTAGCGAGAGTTGACCATGCCAGGGGGTCGGTTGTAGAGATACGGAGACAGTGGGTGGAGTGGGGGTTAGGGAGACGGGTAAAACGGGGGTCCAAGGAGGGACAGGGGCATCTGGGGGTTACCCACGCTCTGAATCTTTGCTCTTGAAGTAGCCAATGAGTTTGATCTCATCCTCGATGTTCTCAAATGCCTGCAGTTCGCGTTCGCCTTCAATCAATTCCACAGGGTCCTCTAGGACCTGGAGGAGAGTGTGTTCTCGCCTCACTCGAAGGAGCAGGGGGAGGGATGAGGGCGGCAGGGCTGGGAGGAGGGGCGGGAGGGGCTGTCTGTTGCCTGTGTGCACGTGTGTGTGCGTGCGCGCGTGCAAGGCTGGACTTGGTTGGGGATGGGTGTGAGGTCTTAAAGCAAGGCCATTAGGTCCAGGAGAATCCTCACATCCAGTAGAAACTCCACCAGGGTGTCCGCAGAAAGCTCGCCGTCATACTCAATGACTTCATCTCCCTTGAACACGTAGATGCTGTCCTCTTCCGTGAGGCCTAGGGAGCGAGCCGGAGGTGAGCCCGGAGGCCAGGCCGCCCACAGGTCCAGGGCCTGTCCCAGTGCCCCTGGACCCCACGCCCTCACCTCTCCTTCACCCCTACCCCACCCACCTCCCTTCAGGCCCCTACAGCCCTGGGCACTGCGCCTGTGGGTCTAGCCCAGGCAGCCCGCCGGGCCCCGGGGCTCTCCAGGAGAAGGCGGGCTCAGCGGGGGTGTCGGGGGGACATAGGGAGACATAGACTCTAGCAAGATGTCTCCCTTTCTCTGCTCGCCATAACGAGAGACAGATCCTCCTTTCCCTGCTCCGAGGACTCCAGCCGCTCACTCCCGGTCCAGCCCTGTAACCTGCTGCTATTACTGACCAGATGACTTCATTAGTGACCGCCCTCCCCAGCCACATCCGGAGTCCGGTTCAGGCCTGTGGTGCTCCCTGGTGGCTGGTGCCGTAACCCTGGCCCCCCCAGCTCCCCCAGGCTCTGGCCGGAGAGGCCTCTCCTGCCCTGCCAGTGTTCCCTGACTGCCCCATTCCTCCAGCGCCTAGCCCTGGTCTGTACGTAAGTATGAAGAGGGCCACCCCCACCTCTTTCTAGGATTGGAGCCTGGGTCTCTCTGAGGAGTGAAGGAGATGCCGGAACCCCTGCCATACCCGTCCCCAGGTCAGTCTTTTCTCCCCGCTGCCACATTAGGCCTGGTGGGGCCCCTGCCCTGTACAAGGGCTACCCTCCAAATCCTGGCCTGGGCCTCCCCCATCCCAGAAGCCCCCACACCTGGGCCTCCCCGGGCCCACACTACTACGTGCCCCTTCCCCACTCCTCCCTTACCTAGTTTCTTGGCTACAGCTGCGTCCTTCTCAGAGTCCACCATCCCGAAGCCAACACCCTTGTCTTCGAGGACTTGGGCCGCTAACTGGAGGGAGCATAAGGTTAAAATCAGCTCTGGGATTTTTAGTCACTCCGTGCCCATCTCACGCTTCCCAGGAGGGTCATTTGGGATGTGGGGAAGATAAGAGTTGCCCTGGGCACCGCGCAAGGCTCCAGGTAGCTCCATTTCCCTGCAAGCCCACCCTTTTGGGCTGTAGTTTGGTTTCAGCCCCTGGACACGTATTACTCGTGCACAGCGTGCTTCTGATGTTGCTCCGAAGGCCGGCACGGGATACTTCCCGGTTCCCGAGGGGTGCTGGGGAGTCTGGCTTCAGAGTGACTGAGGCCCTTTCTGCTTCGGGGCTGAGCCCTGCTTGCCATCGTCATTAAAGGCCATGCTCAGTGTGGGGTGGCATTAGAAGTCCCTGTGGTTCTTCTGAGTGACCCCCACTGGGGAGCATTTTGGAGGGCAGGAGGGTGTGTGTGGGGGGGGCCTGGTTATGTCACCAAGGAGTGGCAGAAGCCAGAGAGCTGAGGGTAGAGGTCACTGGGGCCACCACTTGTCACCTTCAGAGACAGAGACTCCAGCAGGCACGAGAGGAGACCCAGGCGGGGCTCTCCTCACCGAGGCCAGACTTCCCCTGTGTCCCCCAGCCCTTCCTTTCTCAGGCTGTGGACAGTCACTCCTGCGGGTCCCTGCCCCCTTCAGCCTCCCGGCCGGACTCCGCCCTGGTGCCCTCTGCCGCGGGCTCGCAGCCTCACCCTGCCTAACACACACAGGCGCCCGGGTTCTCAGGAGAACGGGGAGGCTGCTGGCAGGTGGATGGGCCGAGATGCTGAGCACTCAGGATAAAAATACTCAGTGCATTAATAGATGGCCGGTTCCGGCAGCCACAGGGGCCCACAGAAACGGGAGCCTCTGGTCCTTCCTGTAGGCAGGCTGGGGCCTCGCTGTCCTGCCGGGCTGGAGAACGGGCTGCACAAGCTTGGGCCGGAACACGAACGCGTCCGGCTAGAGAGCGCGTGGGACCGCATCTCCCAGTCACCCCCAAACACAGGGCCTTTCTCTTGTTGTAAGTCGGCTTGGAGGCGAGGAGAACCTTCCCACAGAGAGAAGCTGGGGAAGACATTCTGAGGCCTCCTCCAATTGCAAGAATTTTCCAATCAGGGCATCTGGCCTGACCCAATAGGGGCAGATGGAGAATTAGGGAGAGAGGGACTGAGGCTGGAGGGCGCCACGGTGGTCTCTGTTAAACTTTCGGTGGGAGAAACATACCATGCGAATAAGATGTCGGTAGCCTTTAAAATGCATACCCTTTGGTTCAACTTGGGGTGCAGGCCTGCTGTGTGTGGAGAGAGGGGGCATGTTCTGGCCAGGAGAGTAGATGGGGGGCGTCGTGCAGGTCCAGCCCCCTCCTCTGACCGAAGTACAGCCCTTCTCCTTTTTGTGCTCCTCTTCCAAGGACACCTCAGTCCTGGCCATGGAGGAGGGGTCTCCCTGCAGCCCCTCCCTCCTAAACGTGCCTCCCCGTGGTGGGACTTTGGGGTCCCAAGTCACCTTCCTGTGGGCCTGAGGCCGCATGCCGCGAGGCCCCGAGTCCCCCTCCAAGTCTGCATGCGGCTGTGGGCTAGGGGTGGCCGGGACAGGCCACTGTGCCCTGTGGGCCGGTGGACCCCAGACTCACCTCCAGGATCAGCTCTTCCATCTCAAACTGTCTTTGTGAGGCCTTGTCATCCTCGGGGGGCTCGTGGTAGAGCAGTGCCAGCACCTCATACTTCTTGAACACATGCTTGTAGTTCTTGGCGTTGACATTGACCACACGGTCCACACCGTCATACTGAGGGAATTCCAGCCCGTCCTCCCCCTGTACCCCCAACCTGGGTGTCCCTAGCACCAGCAGGAAGAACAGTGCCGGCCGCAGCCCGGGCCCCGCGCTGGCCCCCATCCTGTCGGCGGCGCGTGCGGTGCAGGGAACGGGGTCAGGCTCGGCTCTCAGGTCCCTGAGGGTAGCTGGGGTCGGGCGGGGCCCTGGGTCCTGAACCCTGAGTGAGGGGCTCACAGGGGGGTGGGGTGGGGAATGGCCCAGAGCAGTGGACAGAGGACACTGCTGGGTCCCGGACAAACTGCCGACAGAGCCAAGAGTGAAAGGGTCAGGAGGAGGGATAGGAGCAGGGGGTGGGGAGGGAACCGGAGCTGTCCCTGAAATTGGCACCGCGGGGCCCCCACCTGGCTCCACCTAAATATGTGTCTGGGGTTGGCAGGAGAGAGGATAACCTTCTGAGGCCAGGACAGCTCCAGAGGGCCGAGACCCTCCCTCCTCCTCCCCCTCGCCCCCTGGCTCCGGGAGCCCCTCCCCCGCTGCCTTCCCCTACGACGGCCAGGGTTCCTCAGCACAGTCCCCACGCTGGCCCGGAAAGCTCATCGCCATATTAAGAAAGGAAAAAGCCTGAGCTAAAAATAAGACCAGATGAGTCGGAGGTAAATGAGCTGGGCTGGGGGAGGGGAGGCATGGGGTCGTTAGGGAGAGTCCAGGGAGGGCAAGGGTACTCAGACCCAGGGAAATGGTGGTGGAGAGGAGGCATTCTGGGTCAGAGATTCAATTCCTACGACAGGACAGAGGGGGCATAAATGCCTAAAACCTGGGACTGTCCTCTGGATGTGGCCTGTTTCCTCCATCCAGCGGAGGAGAAGGTGGTAAAAAGCACCCGGGCTGCAGGAAGAGACCCCCTGCACTTCCCTTTCACGAACAAGGACCAAGGATGATGTCATTCTCAGAATAAAAGATGGAGCCTCAGCCAGGACGGGCGACCTGGCTCAGCCCCAGCCACTTTCCTGTGCTTCACTCAACACCCTAAGTCGGGAGCAGGGGAAGGACGGGGCGTGGGGCAAGAAGCGCTGGCCCACATCCACGCTGCAGAAATGTGATTTGGGGTTTCTCTCCACGGGAAGGGGAAAGTCCTGCAGCTTCTGCCTCCTGCTTGTGCTCGGTACTCGGATCAGAGGGGACTCGGTTCTCTAGGGCACAGTGGGGAGGGAGGGTCCCCCAGGCTGGATGACTGTAAGGAAGGAGAGTTGCCGCAGTGCATTCTGACCAAGAGGATCAGGTATAAAGGCCAGGGGAGAAGTTAACTCAGGGAAAACCTGAAGAGGTGGGCCCTGCACCAGAGCTGAGGATGTTGATTGGTTCTGCGCACTTGAGAGCCCAGGTGGGGGGTGGGGAGGGGCTCTAACTTCCTGCGCCCCATCCTGGGGTGAGGGCTGTGGATGAGTTCAGCTCTGGGTACCTAGGAAGGGAGGACCCTCCTCATGGCCCTCCAGCGTTCTTACCAGGCACAGGTAAACTGAGGCACAGGGGAGCCCATGGGAGAGGTTAGATCAAAGCGCTCCATCTGCACTCTGAGCTGTCTCTGATTTTGGAGAGACAGGGTTTATTTTGCACCGAGGCAGGGGCATGAAATTGTGTTAGAGGGATAAATTTTCCCCCTCCTGTGGGGTGGGCCTTGCACCGCCAAGCAAGGAAGGCCACGGAAAATCTCAAAAACGTGGCAGGAGGGGGTCCAAGAGAGACAGCTGTCCCTGGAGCAAGAGAGGCCAGAGCTAACCTGAGCAGGGCCGGTTGGAGCTAAAGGGGCCTCGGAACACATCTCCCGGGCTCCCAGGAGAGTGACTGAGCGGCCCACAGCCCCACGGCCAGACGGAAGGCCCGCAGGAGGGAGGGCGTGGATTTCCAACTTCTGCTGCACTCCGGGGGAGGGGGAAACTCCGGAACATTGGACCTGCCCCTCGGCACCCCCAAGGGTGTGAGATGGGGCTAAATGGTGACCTGGGCCCCCCAGTCCCACCCAGTCCATCCCAGCAGCTGCACCCTCCTGCTCCCCACCCCACTCTCCCTGCTGCTTTGCTCCCTAATTTCTATTCTGTCCCTTCCCTCTGGACCCCTGCCTTCGGGCCCTTGGACTTAATAGGCCTCAGCAGCCGGTATCAAATGACTCTGAGTTGGGGCCTCTGTATTTTTAACCCACCAGACACCCGAAGCTCCTGCTACTGAAACCCGAGGAGCTGGCCCCTCGGCGCTTCCCGTCCCCACTCAGTCCCCACGCCCTGGCCCCTCCATCTTCCAGGCCTGGTTCAGCTGTGTCAGCAGCAGGGGAAGGACCCCAGACCGATATAGCCCTGTCCCTAGGGGACCTGCTGTTGGAGGAGGGAGGGCAACGGGGGGAAGGGACCTTAGGAGGAGCCTGATGCAGGGCCGAGTGGCTGGCTACACCTTACAGAACCCACTGCCTCTCATCCTCCAGAGCCATCCACGGACCTCCCCCTGCTCACGACCCTATTGTTCCGGTTTCGGTTTTGTAGTTTTGTAGTTGGGTGTTTTCGGTGCAGCCCTCATTGCGGGACTGGGCCGTAAGTGGTTAAGGGCGTAAGTGTCGGAGTCAGACAGACCTTGGCGTCCTCATCGGCGGAACAGGCTGGGTGCTTAGAGGCTACTTGTGTGAGTTGCTGGATGGTGTGCACAGGGCGCTCATCCCACCGCGGGGCACGCTGTGCGGTCCCTTAACACACACGCTTTGGTTTTGATGACCGTCTGTGGTTTCCAACAGGCTTCCTCAGCATTTCTCTCTGCTCTGCATGCTTTGGGCTCAGACCCCAAAAGGGCGTGACCATGCCCTGCCCTCCAGGGCAAAGTGGACCAGCTCACAGAGCAACAGCCAGCGCAGGGCCAAAGGGGAAGGAGGAGCCACATGTGACGGTGGCCGGGAGGGGCGAGGGCCCAGGGCACCTCTGAGTCCTCCACCTGAGACACAGCAGGGAGCCCGGGCCCAGCTTCTCAGGCTCCGGACCCCGGACCTTGGGGAATGTCTGTCATCTTGGGCAGAGCCTGGGTGCAAAAGGGCAGGGTGCTTCACCTAAAGTCAAGGCTACGGGATCCCGGATCCCGAATGATGGGACGGGGTCAAGATGCCCGAGGGCAGGGTGTGGAGGCAAGGACCAGCTTCCGGTCCCCAGAGGAAGGCGGTGGCCGGCCCTGTGTTTGCCACTCACCCTGGGACGCTTTCCAGGTCCTGTCTGGACCTCGGGTTCTTTGTGGATGAACTAAGGTCTTTTCTAGCACTGAAGTTCCATGATGAGTCCATGTGCCAGTCTGGACAGGGGTGCTGTGGCCCCCTCTACCGCCTCTCCCTCATCTCTCCTGTGCCTCTGATCCTGCTCCACCTGTCCTGTCCTTGCTTTCCCTCGGGTCTTCGGACTTTAAGTCGGGGGTTAGCCCTCAAGGGGCAGGGATGCTTGATTTTGACCCCCTCCCAGCTTCGACTCGGTCCCTGAAAGACCACCCTGCCCGGCTCCCGTGGAGACACCATTACAGTAATCCCCTCTTTTCAGAAACCAGACGGACACATCCAGCCAGGTGAGGGCTATTGCAAACATTTATTCTCTAGACTGGCTACTGATTCAACAGGACAGCGCCTCTCCCACTGGGCCCCAGCCAGACATAGCCTGTGCTTGCCGTCCACCCACCCCGCCGTGCCCTCAGTCCAGCCCCAGGATTGCCTGTCTCTCTCATCCCGGGTAATTCATCCCAGCATCTCTGCCCCCACTCATTTTCTTTCAGATGCGCCAAGCTCATAACCCCAACTCCCCCCGCCCCCGCCCCCAGCCCTGGGATGCCCCCGGCAGGGGAAACTCTTCTTCTGCTGAGTTCAGTAGTAGGTCTCTCTCTCCAGCCAGCCTGTGGATGAGAGGAAACCTGAGTGAACTGGGGAAGGTGGAGGGGAGTGAGGACAAGGTAGGAGGCCTGCGGTAGAACTCAGGGCCCCGAGGACGGGAAGGAGCAGGATGGTGGAGGCCAGGAGTCAGGACCTTTCCGGCAGCACATGCAGGCTGTGGGGTGGGGAGAGACACACCCGGCCCCCCGGAACAGGCAGGAGGGGAGAGCCAGTTAGGAGGCTGGGGACCCCTCAGAGCAGGGCGTGGGGAGCCTCACCGCCAGGATGACGTCGGATGATGAGTTTTCGGACTTCATCATAGATGAAGATAAGAACGCTGTAGGGAGTGGCGCAGAACCACCAGGATAGCCTGTGGGGAGCAAGCGCTGGTCAGCGGGGCGGGGCCAGAGGGGCCAGAGGGCAGGTGCAGAGAACAGCGCGCAGAACGAGCGTCTCATCGTCGCGTGCAGGGTTGAGCCCGAGCTCTGGGGAGGTCAGAGCCGAGTGAGGGAGGGAGGAGACAGAAACAGAAGAAGCCGGTGATAACAGAACGTGATAAATGCCGCGTTAGAGGTACACGCGGTGTTCCTGCTTCTGCAGGCGCTCAGGGAGACCCCTGTTGCCTTTCAGGTCTTCTGGGCCTTGCCAAAGGGGAGGTGCTCTGAGCAGGATGGGTCTACCTGAGATCCCCACCTGTGGGGATATTTCACCGAGGAATGGATATACTTGTCCATGTTGCAAACATGGGGAACGTTTCTCTTCCGGAACCTCTTCTGTCATTAGAGGCCAGGGAGAGAGACTCTGGGGAGGAGTCAAATCACAAGCATGTTTGTTCCCTTGGGTGAGAGGGAGGTGGCCTAGACCAGTGCCGTCCCAGAACAACACACTGAGAGCCACTCGTGAGGCCTACTGTTTTCCAGGAGCTGCCTTAAAAGAAGTGAAAAGAAACGGGGGCAGTTAATTCTAATAATAGGTTTTTATTTAACCCCATATATCCAAAGTATCATCATTTCAACACGGAACCAATGTAAACATTATTAAGGAGCTATTTTACATTCTTCTTTTTACCTTAAGTCTTTGAGATCCAGGGAGTACTTCCCGCTGAAGGCACATCACACATCAGACACTTAATTTTCAAAGGGTCAAGAAAATGTAGTCCAACCCAAACAGGAAAGTTGTATTTAGCAGAATAATATCTGACACTGCTTGAGTTTGTAACTCTGCATTAACTAGATAAAATGTCAAATTCAGTTTCTCAGTCTCACTAGCCATATTTCAAGAGCTCAATAGCCGAAAGAGGGTGATGTGGGAAACGAAGGCAAAAGAAAAATTAAATTTCCATACTGCCTTCAGCCCATTGACAAGTCCTTGAAACAGGCAGAGTGACCTTCCTCTAGGAACTCAGCTGCCTCGATGTTACTTTGCTAAGGGCAAAAGACGGTCTTAGCCCGACTCCCAGGACCCTGCAAGTCTACTTTAACATATAGAAATTCCTTTGGAAACTTCCTTTATCTCTACCCCTCAAGATCCATGTTGGCACCTTTATCTCTACCCCTCAAGCTCCATGTTGGCAGTCATCCTCCAAGGATATGACCCACCGATACACATCTGAAGGGTCTCATGACTAAGGTTTTATTAGACGGTAATAAATGACCTTTTCCTAACAATAGCTAGCCCCCTCAGGGTCCTGGGAACCTTGCTTCCAAAATTCCTTAGAGACTGATGATGCCTCCCTAACCCCCTCCCAACTTGAAAGTATATAATCAGGGGCACCTGGGTGGCTCAGTCAGTTAAGCGTCTGCCTTCGGCTCAGGTCATGATCCCAGGGTCCTGGGATCCAGCCCAGAGTTGGGCTCTCTGCTCAGTGGGGAGCCTGCTTCTCCCTCTCCCCTTGCTCCACCCCCTGCTCATGCTCTCTCTCTCTCTCTGTCAAATAAATAAATATAATATTAAGAAAGCGGGGGGCATCAGGGTGGCTCAGTCTGTTAAGTGTCTGCCTTCGGCTCAGGTCATGATCCCAGGGTCCTGGGATCGAGCCCCACGTCGGGCTCCCTGCTCAGCGGGCAGTCTGCTTCTCCCTCTCCCCTTGCTCCACCCCCTGCTCATGCTCTCTGTCTCTCTC